TTATAAATCATGTTACCTAAACTACATGATCATGGTGTCTCCCCTGCCAAGTTGGAGTGATAATACAGCGGGTAGGGCTTTTGCCTTGCATGCGGCCGACCCAACCCGACTGACCCATCTCGGAGAGCCCAGCAAGCTACCGAGAGTATCTCACCCACACGGCAAAGCCTGGCAAGCTACCCGTGAAGTATTCAATATGCCAAACACAATAACAAGTCTCACAATGTTACTGGGTCGAGGATAGTGACAGTTACCTAAACTACAATAATATGAGGGGAGGGGGAGAGTGGAGACACACCTGGAAATGCATAGGGATTATTCCTGGCTTGGTGAATTACTCCTGGAGGAGGGGTTCTGGGGTGACACCTGCAGGTAAATAGGAGAGGACCCATGGCAATGGAATTTCTGAGAATAAATACAATAGTCCTGAAGCTGCAAGAATTAAGGCTTAGGCCTGATAAGATCTTCCTGATACCAGTGACAAACCCTGAGGAGGCTGGACCTCACAGAGACACAAATTGCAGCAGAGACAGAGACTGCAATTAAGGACCTGAAGGAGATTTATGACACCTGAAGGACACAAGTCTCCCCCCCCTCAACCCCCCAAGCCCCAACAGGAACAAAGGCCAAGGAAATCAATTTCAAAGAGGACCACTGACCACTCCCAATTCTACCCCCTTTGGCAACTACCCTAGCAACAGGGACTCTTACCTAGCTAGAAAGCCCTCTGAGAGGCACCTTGGCTAAAACCCTATAAAAGCCAGCTTGAAGAAAGGAAGGGGGTGTACATGCATATGCGCATAAATTCACAAGCCCATGTGATGCTTGTGCCACGTGGCCAAGCACTTATATCTTTCTTATCTCCCCTCTTGAGATACTCTCATGTTTCCATATCTAATGCTGCAATGTATATAGCGGGCTCTCTTGTCAGCTCTGGAGAAACCCACACTCTCCCTTGAGCCTGTTACTCTCTCTCACTTTCTCTCCCTCCTTCTCTTTCTTAAGCCTCCAAATAAAATCTATTTTACGTCACTGCTCTTTTACTTCACTGCTCTTCTACTCCTGAAATTCCTTTCTGTGGGAAAGGCTTAGGACTGACATTCCACACTTTATCAGTCCTGACCTTCCCAGTTGGTCCTGGGATGGCAGAGGTGCATTTGGAAAAAGTGACCATCTCTCTCCTCTCTACCTCACATAAGCCACCCGGGGGGACCCACTGACTTCAGGGGGACAATATAGGATGCTGGGGACTGAATCCAGGTCAGCCACATGCAAGGTAAGGTAAGGTAAGGTAAGGTAAGTGGCTTACCTGTTGTATTATCACTCAGCCCCCACTACAATAAAAAAAATTTAAGTCAAAAAACACAGAAAGTTATTTTTCTGATTTAAGAGTGTGCTGGATTTCCTCAAAAGTAGGCCCTAAAACTATAAGACATTGTTGAAGAAGACTAAGAAGAGCTAAATAAAATGGGAAGATATCCCATTTCACTGAGCAGAAAGCTTAACATTAAATCAAACTTAGGGGTCATATCGATAGTACAGCAGGGAGATCATTTGCCTTGCATGCAGTCAACCTGGGATCAATCCCCGGCATCCCATATGGGCCCTCAAGCACTGCCAGGAGTAATTCCTGAGTGTAGAACCAGGAATGACCCCTGAGCATTGTTGGGTGTGTCTCCAAAAGCAATAAATAAATAGTGTTTTTTTTAAAAAAAATTCAGTTAACTTGGTATGAGACAGAAATACTTCTCTAATAGGCTGCATTATGGCTACCAACTATTCATATGATAAAGTTCTCATCTTCAGAGCCTCAGAATGTGTTTACCTTTGGAGATAGGACTTTGAAATGAGGTTATATTTATGTTGGTGGGGCCCACGGGTGACTTATGTGAAGCGGGGAGGAGAAAGACGGTCACTTTCTCCCCAACCACCTCTGCCGCCCGGGATCCAGAGTTACTGAGTTCTTGTCTTGCCTCACAGAAAGAAATTTCAGTAGACAAGCAGTGAAATAAATAGATTTTATTTGGAGGTTTTGGAAAGGAAGAGAGTGAGAGAGTAACGTACTCAGGAGAGAACACGGGCTTCTCCAAGGGCAGAGAGAAAGCCCCTACACATATCCTAACATTAGACAGAAAAGCATAAAAGTACACATTTCAAGAGGGGAGATGCGGGCGACACATGTGCTCAGCCCACATGTGCTCGGCCATGTGGGCGCAAGCAGCACAAGGGCTCAGGCAGCATATGCACGTGCTTCCCTTGTTCAAGGTGGCCTTTATAGGGTTTCCCCAACCTGCCCCAGGTGGGCCCGTTGCTAAGGAGGTTACCAGGGGGGTTGGGAAATGTGATGGTCTTCTTTGAAATTCCTTGCCTGGCCAGGAGCTTCCCTGGGTCTATTGTTGTAGATTGGTGAGGGTCTTGCCAGGCCTTAGTTCCTGTTTTCCTATTTTCTGCTTTTGTCATTGCCTTGGGAGGGGGCCTTCCCTGTCTACCTGCCTACATTAATATGGGTGGATTCTAATTCAGTGTAATGATGAACTCTGTATGTTTGTCATACACTAGGTTGCATTTTCATATGGGGTCAATAATTAACTGTAGGGGGGAGAGTAAAGTAAAGTAAAGGCCCTCCCGTTGATCGTCGATTTGCTCGAGCGGGCCCAGTAACGTCTCCATTGGAGACTTTGTTGTTACTGTGTCTGGCATATCGAATACTCTCGGTAGCTGCCGGGCTCTCCGAGAGGGGCGGAGGAATCGAACTCGGGTCGGCCATGTTGGCCGCTTGTAAGGCGAACGCCCTACCCGCTGTGCTATCGCTCCAGCCTAGTAGGGGGGAGAAGGGTCATGAAAATATTTGGAACAGGAAAAGGTTTCTGAACATGCAACAATCAAATAGTAATTCAAAAACAACCACGTAATGAACCTGAGGTGCTCCTGGCAGAACTCGACTGTGCTGCATTTCACAGATGAAGATAGTTAAGAGGTGAAGGAGAGGGGCTGGAGTGATAGTACAGCAGGTAGGGTGTTTGCCTTGCTTGTGGCTGACCCGGGTTTGATTCCCAGCATCCCATATGGTCCCCTGAGCTCTGCCAGGAGTAATTCCTGAGTGCAGAGCCAGGAGTAACCCCTGTACATCATCAGGTGTGACCCAAAAAGAAAAAAAAAAGAGGTGAAGGGGTAGGAGTAAGGTGAAAGAATTTCTTAGATGAGGCAAGAGGAGACAGTTCAGCAAGGCTGGCACTAGAGAAAATGGTACAAATACACAAGAAAAAGATCCACAAGCCAAAGAAAGAACCTCAACAAACAAAAATGACCCTGCTAATGGTATGATTTTTAATTTTTTAGCCTCTGGCACAATAAGAAAATAAATGTCTATTCTCTAAGCTTAATAACCTGTGGATCTTATTATCACTAAGATGAAATCATATTACATTATGCTTCGCACTGTGAGATTTCATATCCAATATCATGACTAAGTCCTTTGGGGAAACTTACCATATTATGTAAGACAAACCTAAGAGACAGAAAGATAATAAACCCGATTGAAGTTATAGACTGTATCAGGATTGAACCTGCAGTTCAATAGTATAGATTCTATTTCACTACAATGCTGCTGCCACCAACCTTTAGTTCCACATTTGTAGTTAAGGCTCTGACACTTACTCCAAACACTCAGGTTCCTCCCCTGCAATATTTGGACAAATATTCCCAGTGTTTTGTGAACACATGGAATTTTGGTTTTTGTTTTGTTTTGAGGTCACACCAAGTGATGTTCAGGGATCACCCCCAGAAGTTTGAGGGTGGTTGGATTCATGTGGTGCTGGATTAAAACCAAGTCCTCCACATGTAAAGCATGTTTTGCATTCACTCATCCCACTGAGCTACCTCTAGTCCAGACATATTCCTATTTATATGTAAATCATGGAACATTGATAGAGAAGCAGTTACTCTAACATGTACATACAGATCTGTACATACACACTGCTAGGCATTGTGGAACATTATGCCTATGTTGTTACCAGGTCCACATTAAAAATGTTAATATAGCATCTACTAAGGCTCAAAAAACACCTATTTCTTAGGATACAGCAACTCAACTCCCAGTCTGGCCCATGGAAATGCCCTCAAAAGACTCTTGAAAGTTCAGGTTTTATGGGGCTGGAGCAATAGCACAGAGGGTAGGGTGTTTGCCTTGCATGCAACCAACCCGGGTTCAATTCCCAGCATCCCATGTGGTCTCCTGAGCACTGCCAGGGGTAATTCCTGAGTGCAGAGCCAGGAGTAACCCCTGTGCATCGCCAGGTGTGACCCCCCCCAATAAAGTTCAGGTTTTATTCCTAATAATCATAAATTGAGACATATCAAATATCCCCTGACAGTAAAACTGACTAGTTCCTTGAGGATCAGAAAGTGGAAAATTATTTTGCAGTGCTCATAAGCACCCTGCAAGGACTCCCACTCTATACACACAACTGAGCATAAGCAGATAGGCACTAAGGACACAATGATGGCTTCGTTCCCATGAAATGCAGCAAGGAAAGTCAAAACTGTTTTGTTGAAATGCGAAAGCAAGGAAAGGCGATTTCTTGACGTTCTAGCAATATTTTTTTTTAATTGGGTTGTAGGCTACTCTGATACAAACAGTCAAACAGTGAAAATTAAGGAAAGGCTTTGTGTGAGTGTTGGTAAGGACATCCTTCAGTAATTCACACATGGTCCTCACTCTCCCCCCACCCCTCACTCCCCACCCCCGCCCGTCTCCACATTTTCCTGGACTGGAATTCTGCTTTACTAGATGCTTGTTCATCACTCCAGTTTCACCACTAAAAACAGATTAGCCACACACTTTCCCTCCAGGCAACAGTGCTTGGAGGCTGAGTAGCATCCCTGGGCGGGCTCGGCGCCACACCCAGATTTCAGGAAGCCCCAGGCACATGCCGCCCAGGAGGGTCGGTACACTTACCATAGAAGAGAACAGAACATAGAAGAGAACACAGCGTGGTCCTGGCTGTGCCACCCGCAGCCGCCTACTCAAGCGGCTCAGCCACTCACTGCGCCTGGTGCCTGCAACATCGACCCAATCCGGACTCCGGACGCGGCTCTTCACAGCCTTGGGGTTGGACTGCGGTCTGCGCCTTGCGGCTTCCGGGTGCGGGGTCAGCGCAGAAACATCACGCGGCCAGGATGGAGGTGACGGTGACGGTGGATCCCAAGGAACGCAGCCTCTGGGACGAGCCTGTGCGCATCTTGGCCAGCGGCCTGGCCCCTGGGCAGCGGGTCACGCTGCGCGCGTCCCTGCGCGACGAGAAGGACACGCTCTTCCGGGCCCACGCGCGCTACTGCGCCGATGCCCAAGGCCGGCTGGACCTGGCGCGCGCGCCCGCCCTGGGCGGCAGCTTCGCGGGGCTCGAGCCCATGGGGCTCTTCTGGGCCCTGGAGCCCGACAAGCCTTTCTGGCGGTTTCTGAAGCGGGACGTGCAGACGCCTTTCGCCGTGCAGCTGGAGGTGTGGGACGGCCACGATCCGGAGCCCGAGCGGCTGCTGGGCCAGACGGAACACGAGCGCCACTTTCTGGGGCCCGGGGTGCGGCGGGAGCCGGTGCGCGCGGGCCGAGTGCGCGGCACGCTCTTCCTGCCTCCAGGTGAGCCTGGGGTGCTCAAGGGATCTTCACCTAAAACCGTGTCTGGGTTCTTTCTCCAGTCATCTGAAACATCAATGCAGAAGGAAGAAATCAAAGTGCAAGATTGCATAAAGGGTTGTTACAAGAGTCATTTCTGTGCCAATTTTCAAGTCAAAAAGTGATCTGTGCCTTAAATAACTCTTGGATCTGTGTGGTTAAGTTACCCTCCCTAGGACTCTAGGATAATTAATGAGAAGGGGCCCTGCAGATTATCCTCTTCTTCAAGGAACCTGTATCCCTCTCAGTACTCAGTGGCTCCTGGAGTTGTTTGCTTTGAGCCACAGGACCCTGCTAAATTGTTTAGAAAGATCCCTTAAGAAAAAAAAAAGAAAGAAAAGAAAACGGTTTCATATAATAATTGCAATACTCTTTATAATATTTTTTTCTCTAGGTCCTGGACCTTTCCCTGGGATCATTGACATCTTTGGTGTAGGAGGGGGCTTATTGGAATACCGGGCCAGCCTTCTGGCTTCCCATGGCTTTGCCACATTGGCTCTAGCTTATTACGACTTTGAAGATCTGCCAAAGAATTTTGACACCATAAACTCGGACTACTTTGAAGAAGCTGTGAGCTACATGGTTCAGCACTCCCAGGTTCTCATTGTTCTTTATTATTCTCCCCAGAAATACCTCGGGAGAGAGCAGTGCTGTGCCCTCACAGGACCAAGTGCACTGATGGTTGCTTGACTGTGAGAGCGACTTGGAGTGTTTGGAGATTTCCTTGGCTTAAGATGCTGATCTCCAGTTTTTGTTAGCTGGGCTAATGATGTAGAATTCCTCATAGAAATCCATGTGACAGTTTATTCAAAGAAAATAATAATAGTAAATAATGTGCCCCTTCATAGGGGCACACTGGCTAGCGTTCAGGATTGATGGATAAATGAACAACTTACAGATTGAGCATGAATCATGTTTTTTGTTATTGTTTTTTTATGAAGGAGGTAGATTTTGGCCACACCTGGCTCTGCTCAGGAATAACTCCTGGTGGTGCTTGGGGGCCGTGGTGCTGGGGATCAATCTGGAGTTGGCCATTTGCAAGGCAAGTGCCTTAACCCCTGTACTGTCTCTAGCCCTGATCATGTATCTGACATGCATGAAGCCTAAGGATGTTGGATCCTGGGATGTGTGAATTGTATGGAGTAGTTGATGAATAAATGAGAGAAATTAATTCCTTTTGCTATCCAAGTGGAGCTTCTAGTTAGCTCTGCATACTTTCTTCTTATGGGCTGGAGCGATAACCCAGCGGGTAGGGTGTTTGCCTTGCACGAGGCCGACCCGGCAGACCTGGGTTTTATTCCTCCGCCCGTCTTGGAGAGCCTGGCAAGCTACCGAGAGTATCTCGCCCGCACGGCAAAGCCTGGGAAGCTCCCTGTGACTTATTCAATATACCAAACACAGTAACAAGTCTCACAATAGAGGCGTTACTGGGCCCGCTTGAGCAAATTGATGAACAACGGGAGGACAGTGCTACTTTCTTCTTAATCTTTAATTCATTGATGTCAAGTCATGTTGTCAGAATTTGAATTTTGAGGGCTGGAGCGATAGCATAGCGGGTAGGGCGTTTGCCTTGCACACACCAACCCTGGTTTAATTCCCAGCATTTCATATGGTCCTCTAAGCGGTGTCAGGAGTCAGTTTTTTTCTGGTGCTTGGGGATCTAACTCAGGGCCCTATACATGGCAAGATTGTACTCTACCTGTATTCTAGCTGTATTCTAGCCTTGTTGATATATTTATTTTTGATGGTGGTGGTACTTGAGCCACATCTTGTGAGGGTTTTCTAGCTCTGTGGGTAGAGGATCATATGTAGTGCTCAGGGTACTATATGTGGTGGTTGAGAGACCATAAGGGGTGCTGAGAATCAAACCACAGTTGGCTCTGTGCAAGACACACTTTGCCTCTCTAGTCCCGTGCTAATATATTTAGATAAGGTATATTATTCTCTTCCAAGAAATGGTCAACCAGGGTTTCATACCCAGCACATTTTATGGCACAGTGAGCACCATCAGAGTGATCTCTGGGGGCTAGAGCTATAGCACAGCGGGCAGGGCATTTGCCTTGCATGTGGCCAACCCAGGTTCAATTCCCAGCATCCCATATGGTCCCTGAGCACCGCCAGTGGTAATACCTGAGTGCAGAGCCAGGAGTCAGCCCTGTGCATTGCCGGGTGTGACCCAAAGAAACAAAATAAAAGAGTGATCTCTGATATAGAGCCAGGGAGTAAGCCCTGGGCACTGCTAGGTGTGGCCCCCAAACGAAAGAAAACAAAGTAAGAAAAAAAAGAAGAATTAATGAAAGAAATTTGATATTGGGAAAATGTTTTTTGCTTTTCTGTATATATATTTTTTGGTGAATATCTTTAATGGAAAGTTAGAGTAGATATGTATTACACTAATTAAAATCAATGAAAAAAATGATACTCAAAGTTACCTAAAATACATTATTAATACCGGTGAGATGAAGTTAATGTAAACCAGAGGACATAAAAATATGAAACACTGGAATCTGACGTCGAATCTATTATGTCCACAATAAACCAATAAATTACAACTTGGAGAAAGATGTATATATGGATATACATATTATATATGTAATTATATATATTCTGCTCATTTCTTGAAACAGAATTTGACCCCACACATTAGATACCTAGGCATGTTGAAACTTTGATTCTGTCCACATGAAGATAGCCTTGCATAACTAGCATTCTGTCATATTTTCTGGTCACAATGGATATTGGTAACCTATTTCCAAATTTTCATTAAGGGTTGTTTGGGGACCAGAGTAGGTACGGTGCTTGCCTTCCAGCTGTCACTGAGGGTTGATTCCTTGCAGCACATACTGTTCCCCAGAACTGATTACTGCATCAGAGCCAGGAGTAAGCCCTGAGCTTTGGGTGTGGCCCCAAACCAAACCAAAACCATACACACAAAAAGACAAAGACGTGACATTCCTTAAGTGAAGGAACTCCTTCAACTGAGGTTGATTACCTTTTGGTCAATTCACAAATTAAACTAGCACCTCTAGTTTTAGTTTAAAAATCATAGTTCTGGGGCTGGAGAGATAGCACAGCAGGTAGGGCGTTTGCCTTGCACGCGGCCAACCCGGGTTCGATTCCCAGCATCCCATATGGTCCCCTGAGCACCGTCAGGAGTAACTTCTGAGTGCAGAGCCAGGAGTAACCCCTGTGCATCGCCGCTAGGTGTGACCCAAAAAAGAAAAAAAAAATCATGGTTCTATGATGTATGTTCTTGACTCTTCTCCCTTTTTTTCTTTCAGGTAAAGGGTCCAGGCATTGGACTTCTGGGCATTTCTTTAGGGGCTGATATTTGTCTCTACATGGCCTCATTTTTAGAAAATATCACAGCCACAGTGTCCATCAATGGATCTGGATTCAGTGGAAGCAGACCCATGCACTACAAGCAGACTAGCATTCCCCCATTGGGCCATGACCTGAAAAGAGTCAAGGTAACTTTCTCAGGCCTGTTGGACATTGTGGATATACGGAATGACATTGTAGGTGGATATGAGAATCCCTGCATGATTCCCATGGAGAATGCTGAGGGGCCTATTCTCTTCATTGTTGGGGAGGATGACCATAACTGGAGGAGTGAGATGTATGCCCAAAGAGCCTGTGAACGTCTACAGGCCCATGGAAAGGAAAAGCCCTTGGTTCTTTCTTACCCTGGGACTGGGCATTACATTGAGCCCCCTTACTTCCCTATGTGTCCAGCTTCCTTGCACAGAGTTGTGAACAAACCTGTGATATGGGGTGGGGAGCCCAGGGCTCATTCTAAGGCCCAGGTAGATGCATGGGAGCACATCCTAGCCTTCTTCTTCAAACATCTAGGAGGTATCCGGAAGACATCTTTCTCCAAGTTGTAATTTATTGGTTTATTGTGGACACAATAGATTGAAGGTCAGATTCTAGTGCTTAATATTCTTATGTCCTCCGGTTTACATTAACTTTGTCTTAGTGGTATAATGTGTTTTAGGTAACTTTAATGTTTTTTCATTGATTTTTATTAATGTAATACATATCTATTGTAACATTCCATTAAAGATATACAATAAAAATAAAGATATGCAATAGAAAAGCAAAAAGTATTTGCCCAAAATTAAATATCTTCCTTCCTCCTTCCTTCCTTCCTTCCTTCCTTCCTTCCTTCCTTCCTTCCTTCTTTCCTTCCTTCTTTCCTTCCTTCCTGTTTTGGGGTCACAACCAACAATGTTCAGAGCTAACTACTGGCTTTCTATAGAGATCACACTTGATGGTGCTCACTGTGCCATAAAAGGTGCTAAAGGGATGGCATACTCAGCGGTGCTCAGGGGTTACTCCTGGCTCTGTCAGCACTCAGGAATCACTCCTCTAGGTGCTGAGGGATCATAAGGGATGCCAGCAATTTAATATGGATCAGCCCCAGGCATGCAAGCACCTAACTCATTGTACTATCTCTTAAACATGATCTTCCGCCATATTCTCCCTTAAACATGTACCTCCTCTATTTCTCTCCGTCAGACCTTCTAATTTACTTTCAGGAAAAACAGCCTTGGGACCAAGAGAGATGATACATTCATTATTTACAGTGGTGGCTGCCCTTAGCTTAGAGTAAGGATTGTCCACACAAAATGTGATTTGAGTGGGGATGTGGAGAGGGGTGTACAGAAGGGAGCCTTTGGATATCTGTCCACCAATAGAATGAGATCAACAACAGTGTCAATTCATCACTCTTGTTTATATAATGGAAACCTAATAAAGGAGACTACCAAGGATCAGATGAATTTCCCTGCTATTATGTGTTGTATGGCACACATCAGTGCTAGGAGATTATGAGATCTTGAGTCCACGGACAAGAACAACACAAACTCCATGTTAGGAATTTCCCTGAACTTTGTGCACATCATCCCCTGGCTGAGTCCCCAGTTCTTCTTCCTATAATTACTGTGTTGTAACTAGATTTCACATTATAGAATTTCAAGTATTTCAAGTAGTGTAACACCCCTCTGTGTGTATAGGATTCAACACATCCATCATCAGAGTTCCAGTGCCATCTGTTACCCTGTACCAAAGACCCCATCCTCCCATCCTCCCACTCCCTCCCCTCCCATCCCATTTGGAAACCACCACAGTTCTCACCAAGCCTAGAAGGTAGTTTTGTTGCTGTTTTCTATTCTTGGATGATTTTGATCTCTTCTTTTCTTCTACTTCTACTACGTGGGCAGTTATGGGAAGCCCTGCCCTAAACTTGGATTTAAGGTCAGAATTAAGGGTGGTCTTTCATGAGAACTATTCCCGCTAACTCTGGAGTTCTTTGCAAGCTTGTTGCACCAAACCTAGTGAACTTAGAGTTTATAATGCATTCTGCTGTCTTGCAGCTGAAGTCTCTCTAAATCTGTGGATTTGTTGGGAATGTAGCTCAGTGGCAAGAGCACTTGCCTTGCATGTGAGGGAAGGGGTGTGACCCTGGTCACTGCTTACAAAGAAGAAAAGGATAGGAATGTTTAAATGAGCAAAACTGACTACCTTTGTCTTTGGAGATTTACTGGGAAACAGAGTCCAGCTACCACAACAGATGTTAGATTACGGATGCCTGAAATGAGCAAAACTTTCCCAAACAGTAGCTTATATCAAACAGGCACTGAACTCCCTCTCAGAGGAATTAGTAATGTTTAACTTCTTTTGATTTCAACAAAATTAAAAACCAAAGTCCAAAAGAAAGCAACAAATCAACACAAAAGCAGCACAGAGAAAGTAAGCAATTAATGATTTAAAGAATACCAAGAAGAGGGGGCTCGAGCAATAGCACAGCAGGTAGGGCGTTTGCCTTGCACGCGGCCAACCCGGGTTCGATTCCCAGCATCCCATATGGTCCCCCAAGCAACGCCAGGAGTAATTCCTGAGTGCAGAGTCAGGAATAACCCCTGAGCATTGGTGGATGTGATCCAAAAAGAAAAAAATACCAAGGGGCTGGAGCAATAGCACAGCAGGTAGGGCGTTTGCCTTCCACACAGGTTCGATTTCCAGCATCCCATATGGTTCCCTGAGCAGTGCCAGGAATAATTCCTGAGTGCAGAACCAGGAGTAACCCCTGTGCATCACTGGGTGTGACCCAAAAAGCAAAAAAATAATTAAAAAAAAGTAAAATAAAAATTAAAAATACCAAGTAAATCAGAAACCGTTAAAATTATGAATGGATCAAACTTATTTGTAAACATAACTAAACTGTCACACTGGACATATTCCAACTACTTAAATATTTAAGAATCTTAAAAAAAAATGTGGGTTGGAGCAGTAGCACAGCCGGTAGGGCATTTGCCTTCCACGGGGCCAACCCGGGTTCGAGTCCCAGCATCCCATATGGTCCCCTGAGCACCGCCAGGAGAGAGCCAAGAGTAACCCCTGTGCATCGTCAGGTGTGACCCAAAAAGCAAAAAAATTAAAAAAAAATCTGAATAAAAGGAAAAGCAAAGAAAAGGATATACCTTGTAAATGTGAACAAAAAGGAAACTGGTATAACTATTAATATAATTAAAAATAAATTCAAGATTTTAAAAACAGTAAACTATTATTAGAAAAAAACTTTTTTTGTTATTTTTTATTTTGAGGTGACCACCCCCAACTGTGCTCAGGACTCACTCCTGCTCTTCATTCAGCCATCACTCCCAGAGGTGTGCTGTGTGCAAGGCAAGCACCTTCCCTACTGTACTATCCCTCGTGCCTTAATTATTATTTACGTCATTTATTTTCTTTTTAGGGTCACACCCACAGTTCTCAGGTTTACTCTGCATTCAGGGATCACTCCTGGTGGACCCGGGTAACCACATCGGATTTTTATTGTTTTTGTTTTTTGTGGCTTTTTTGGGTGGCACTCAGCGATCCTCAGGTGTTACTACTACTGGCACTGCACTCAGGAATTACTCCTGGCAGTTTGGGGGCTATTATATGGGAAGCCGGGGAACAAACCCTGGTCAGAAGCATGCAAGGCAAATTCCCTACCTGCTATGCTATCACTCTGGCCCAGGTAAGCACATGGGGTGCAGGGGATTAAACCAAGTCAGCTGCGTGCAAGCAAGGCAAATTCCCTACCCACTGTGTTATCTCTCTGGCCCCAACAGTCAAGTATTATTATAGGTCATGAATAGCATAATTTTTTTGGATTAAACTGCAGTTCTTTCCCCATGGGACCTGTAAGTCAAGCCACTGTCAGTGTAAAGAGCCCAAGGGGTATTCAGGTTGTGCTGGCAGGGTTTCTCAACCACTTTCTGACTTTGTGTCTTCCAAGAGTCTATCCAGTGTCTTGCTAGGTCTCTATATGTGTAATTTTCATCAGTGGTCCCTTAGAATATTCCCAGTGTTTTATGAACATATTGAATTTTGTTTCTTGTTTTGTTCTGAGGCCACACCAGGTGGTGTTCAGGTATAACAGCTAGCAGTTTGAGGGTGATTGGATCCATGTGGTGCTGGATTTAAACCAAGTCTTCCACATGTAAAGCATGTTTTGCATTCACTCAGCCCACTGAGCTACCTCTAGTCCAGACATATTCCTATGTGTATGTAAATCAATCGGATATCGATAGAGAAAGCAGTTACTGTGTATGTACAGATCTGTACATACACACTGCTAGGCATTGTGAAACATTATGCCTATATTATTCCCAGATCCACATTAAAAATGTTAATATTGGGGGCTGGAGCGATAGTACAGCGGGTAGGGTGTTTGCCTTGCACGCAGCCAACTCGGGTTTGATTCCTAGCATCCCATATGGTTCCCCAAGCACCATCAGGAGTAATTCCTGAGTACAGACCCAGGAGTAACCCCTGAGCATAGCTGGATGTGACCCAAAAAAAGCAAAGAAAAAAAAAGTTAATGTAGCATCTACTAAGGCTCAAAACGCTTATTCCTTAGGATACAGCAATTCCACTCCCAGCTGTTAGCTCCACCAAAATGCCTTCCTATATCCATCAGAAGAACCAAATACCCATTGACAGTAAAACCGACAGTTCCTTGAAGATCAGAAAGTGAGAAATCATTTTGCAGTGCTCATGAATACCCTTAATGACCCCCACCCCATTTGGCAAATTTCAAACAACTGAGCATAAGCAGATAGGCACTAAAGACACACAATGATGTCTTACTTCCCATAAAACGCAGCAAGGAAAAACAAACTTGGGTTGTTGGAATTCGGGACAAAGTACCTTCTGAAAACGGCAGCAGATTTTGGACTTCTGCCAAAATTGGTTTTGAACTGTAAATTACTCGGATACAGTCAGCCAGTGAAAAATTCAGAGAAAGATTTGTGCGAGTACTGTTAAGGACATCATATAAGAAATTCACTCAGAGTCCTCACTCTTTTTTTTTTTTTACCACCCCCTTCTTCATCCCCCCACACGCACCCCCCGCACCCTGCCGCATTTTCCTTGGCTGGGATTCTGCATAAGGATTACCTTTTAGCAGCCCAGTTTCACAACTAACCACAGATTAGCCAACCACTTCCCTCCAACTGACTGCTAGGGGGCAGAGCAGCATCCCCGGGCGCGCTCGGCACACCCATATTAAGGGGAGCCCCAAGCGCTCGGTCCAGAAAGGTCAACTGTTACTTTTACCTTAGGTGAGAACAAGCGCAGGGTCCTGGCTGTGTTCTCCCGCAGCCGCCTCCTCACGCGGCTCAGACACTCACTGCGCCTGGTGCCTGCAACTTCGACCCAATCCAGATTCGGGTGCGACTCTTCATATCTCGGGGTTGGGCTGTGGTCCGCTCCTTGCGGCTTCTTGGTGCCAGGTCAACACAACAGCATCTCGCAGCAGGGATGGCGGTGACGGTCACGGTGGAGCCCGCGGGCCGCAGCCTCTGGGACGAGCCCGTGCGCATCTCGGCCAGCGGCCTGGCCCCTGGGCAGCGGGTCACGCTGCGCGCGTCCCTGCGCGACGAGAAGGGCACGCTCTTCCGGGCCCACGCGCGCTACTGCGCCGATGCCCACGGCCGGCTGGACCTGGCGCGCGCGCCCGCCCTGGGCGGCAGCTTCGCGGGGCTCGAGCCCATGGGGCTCTTCTGGGCCCTGGAGCCCGACAAGCCTTTCTGGCGGTTTCTGAAGCGGGACGTGCAGACGCCTTTCGCCGTGCAGCTGGAGGTGTGGGACGGCCACGATCCGGAGCCCGAGCGGCTGCTGGGCCAGACGGAACACGAGCGCCACTTTCTGGGGCCCGGGGTGCGGCGGGAGCCGGTGCGCGCGGGCCGAGTGCGCGGCACGCTCTTCCTGCCTCCAGGTGAGCCTGGGGTGCTCAAGGGATCTTCACCTAAAATCAAGTCTGGGAATTCTTTCTTTCTCCAGTCATCTGAAACCTCAATGCAGAAGCACTGTAGCACTGTCCTCCAGTTGTTCGTTGATTTGTTAGAGCTGGCCCAGTAACGTCTCCATTGTGAGACTTGTTACTTGTGTTTGGCCTATCGGATACCTCACGGGTAGCTTGCCAGGCTCTGCCGTGCCAGCGAGATACACTCGGTAGCTTGCGGGGCTCTCTGAAAGGGGCGGACTAATCGAACCTAGGTTTGCCGGGTTGGTCGCCTGCAAGGGAAACGCCTGCGCTGTGCTATCGCTCCAGTAACAAGTGTCACAATGCAGATGAAAAAAAGAAAGAAAGAAAAAATCAAGGCTCACACAGTATCAAGTGTTGTTACTAGAGTCATTTAATGTCAACTTTCTTTTCTATTCTTTTTTTTTGGGGGGGGGGGGTCACACCAGGCAGTGCTCAGGGGTTACTCCTGGCTCTGTACTCAGGGACTATTCCTTGCAATACTTGGGGAACATATGGAATGCCAGGGATCAAACCCAGGTCCGCCGTGTGCAAGGCAAGCACCCTATCCCATTGTACTATAGCTCAGGCCCTCTATGTCCAATTTTCAAGTCAAAAAATGTTCTATGCCTTAGATGACTCTTGGATCTGTTTGGGTAAGTAACCCTCCCTATGACTAGGATAATTAATGAGAAGGGGCCCTGCAGATTATCCTCTTCTTCAAGGAACCTGTATCCCTCTCAGTACTCAGTGGCTCCTGGAGTTGTTTGCTTTGAGCCACAGGACCCTGCTAAATTGTTTAGAAAGATCCCTTAAGAAAAAAAAAAGAAAGAAAAGAAAACGGTTTCATATAATAATTGCAATACTCTTTATAATATTTTTTTCTCTAGGTCCTGGACCTTTCCCTGGGATCATTGACATCTTTGGTGTAGGAGGGGGCATATTGGAATACCGGGCCAGCCTTCTGGCTTCCCATGGCTTTGCCACATTGGCTCTAGCTTATTACGAATTTGAAGATCTGCCAGAGAATTTTGACACCATAAACTTGGACTACTTTGAAGAAGCTGTGAGCTACATGGTTCAGCACTCCCAGGTTCTCATTGTTCTTTATTATTCTCCCCAGAAATACCTCGGGAGAGAGCAGTGCTGTGCCCTCACAGGACCAAGTGCACTGATGGTTGCTTGACTGTGAGAGCGACTTGGAGTGTTTGGAGATTTCCTTGGCTTAAGATGCTGATCTCCAGTTTTTGTTAGCTGGGCTAATGATGTAGAATTCCTCATAGAAATCCATGTGACAGTTTATTCAAAGAAAATAATAATAGTAAATAGTAAATAATGTGCCCCTTGATAGGGGCACACTGGACTAGCGCTTAGGATGGATGGATGAATGAACAACTTACAGATTGAGCAATTGAGCATGTATCATTGTTGTTTTATAAAGGAGGTAGGTTTTGGCCACACCTGGCAATACAAAGGTCTCTCCTGGCTCTGCTCAGGAATCACTCCTGGTGGTGATCAGGGGGCCAAGTGGTGTTAGGGATCAATTGGAAGTTGGCCACTTGCAAGGCAAGTGCCTTAACCCCTGTACTGTCTCTAGCCCTGATCATGTATCTTACATGCATGAAGCCTAGGGATGTTGGATCCTGGGATGTGTGAATTGTATGGAGTAATTAATGAATAAATGAGAGAAATTAATTCCTTTTGCTATCCAAGTGGAGCTTCTAGTTAGCTCTGCATACTTTCTCCTTAGTCTTTAACTCATTGATATCAAGTCATGTTGTCAGAATTTGAATTTTGGGGGTGAGTTTGAGTCACTCCCCAGCAATGTTCAGGCTTTCTCCTGGTTCTGTACTCAGACATCACTCCCAGCTGTGCTCAGGGAACTTAGAGGTGCTGGGTGTCCAACCTGGATCAGTCACATGCAAGCCACTGCTGAAATATCTCTCCAGCCCCAACATTTTTTAAAGGGTGGGAGTGGAAAATAGTGTGCAAGATTGAATCCTGGGTCTTGTACTTGCAGGGTAGGCAAATATTCTACCACTTATGCTACATCCCATGCAGTCTGTGCTCAGATATTGATCAGAACTTGCTTACTCATTTCAGAAGCTAAAAACTATTTCAGTAGACTCAATCAGTTACCACTTTTGTTAATCATCTGCCAGTTTTTTCTGGTGCTTGGGGATCTAACTCAGAGCCTTATACATGGCAAGCTTGTGCTCTACCACTAAGCTATATTCTAGCTTGACTGATATATTTATTTTTGATGGTGGTGGGATTTTGAACCACATCCAGTGGGGCTTAGGGACTTTTCTAAATTATATGTAGTGCTCAGGGTACCATATGTGGTGCTTGAGAGATCACAAGTGGTGCTGAGAATCAAACCACAGTTGGCTCTGTGCAACACACACTTTGCCTCTCTGGTCCCTTGCTAATATATTTAGATAAGATATAATGATTTGGGGCTGGAGCGATAGCACAGCAGGTAGGGTGTTTGCCTTGCACATGGCCTACCTGGGTTCGATTTACAGCATCCCATATGGTCCCCTGAGTAACACCGAGAATAATTCCTGAGTGCAGAGCCAGGAGTAACCCCTGTGCAGCCCCGGGTGTGACCCAAAAAGCAAAAAAAAAAAAAAAAAAAAAAAAAAAAAAAAAGATATAATGATTTACTTGAAACCTATTTTCAGATTTTCATTGAGTTTAAGGGTTGTTTGGGGACCAGAGTAGGTAGGGTGTTTGCCTTCCAGCTGCCACTGGGGTTTGATTCTCTGCAGCACTTATTATTCCCCAGGACTGATCCCTGAGTGCAGAGCCAGGAGTAAGCCCTGAGCATCTTTGAGTGTGGCCCCATAACAAGTCAAAACCACACACAGAAAGAAAAAAAACAAAGATTTGACATTCTTTAAGTGGAAGAACTCTTTCAACTGAGGTTAATTATCTTTTGGTCAATTCACAAATTAAACTAGCACCTCTAGTTTTAGTTTAAAAATCATAGTTCTATGATGTATGTTCTTGACTCTCCTTTTTTTCTTCCAGGTAAAGGGTCCAGGCATTGGACTTCTGGGAATTTCTTTAGGGGCTGATATTTGTCTCTGCATGGCCTCATTTTTAGAAAATATCACAGCCACAGTGTCCATCAATGGATCTGGATTCAGTGGAAGCGAACACAAGGACAAGCAGACTAGCATTCTCCCATTTGGCCGTGACCTGAGAAGAGTCAAGGTAACTTTCTCAGGCCTGTTGGACACTGTGGACATATGGGATGATATTGTAGGTGGACATGAGAATCCCTGCATGATTCCCATGGAGAATGCTAAGGGGCCCATTCTCTTCATTGTTGGGGAGGATGACCATAACTGGAGGAGTGAGATGTATGCCCAAAGAGCCTGTGAACGTCTACAGGCCCATGGAAAGGAAAAGCCCCTGGTCCTTTCTTACCCTGGGACTGGGCATTACATTGAGCCCCCTTACTTCCCCATGTGTTCAGCTTCCTTCAACAGAATTGCGAAAAAACCTGTGATATGGGGTGGGGAGCCCAGGGCTCATTCTAAGGCCCAGATAGATGCATGGGAGCACATCCTAGCCTTCTTCTTCAAACATCTAGGAGGTATCCAGAAGGCATCTTTCTCCAAGTTGTAATTTATTGGTTTATTGTGGACACAATAGATTGAAGGTCAGATTCTAGTGCTTAAATTCTTACATCCTCTGGTTTACATTAACTTCATCTCACCAGTATTAATAATGTATTTAGGTAACTTTGAGTAATTTTATTCATTGAATTTAATTAATGCAGTACATATCTACTGTAACATTCCACTAGAGATATTCACCAAATATATATGAGCTGATGAGCTCCGGGGGCGTGCTGGTGGGGAACAGGCACCAGCGCTTGTGGCCTTGCACCAGGGCGGTCCAGGCGCTGGTCCCCAGGGGGTGGATGTGAATTCCAGTGCCCGAGTGCGGCGGCCCCATGACAAACCACCTGTAGGGCGGCCTGCGCTTCTCCCCCGGGTACTGGAACAGGTCATCAGTGAAGAACTTGGGCACCTTGTAGTTCTCCAGCAGCTTCTTGTGCTTAGCCGTAGCTGCTGTCGAAGATGTAGAGGGGGTTGTCGTCACGCGTGCTCTCCATGTACTCGATGTAGTACTTCATTTTCATCTTCACCGAGTAGCCGTTGTTGTCCTCCCCGCACTTGAACTTCTGGTTGCGGTACTTGCGCTTCAGGCGCTCCAGCGTCCACTTGCCCTGCGTCGACCAGCCCTCCTGGGCGTTGAGCAGCACCACGGGCTTGTAGGGCCACTCGTAGCGCTCCACGAACTCCTCTACCGACAGCTGCTGCGCGTCGGCGCGCTCCACGTTATCCGCCACGGCCGCGGGGCTCAGCTAGAAGCTCTCGTAGTAGTTGTGCCGCGTCCAGTCCAGCGGAGTCCTTCAGCTCGGGCCGCGCGCTCCGCTTGGCCTCGCGCGTGGGGGTTTGGAGGCCAAATATATATATATATATATATATATTTGAAAAGCTAAAAGCATTTTCCCTGGGGCTGGAGAGATAGCACAGCGGGTAGGGTGTTTGCCTTGCTTCCGGCCGACCTGGGTTAGATTCCCAGCATCCCATATGGTCCCCTGAGCACCGCCAGGAGTAACTCCTGAGTGCAGAGTCAGGAGTAACCCCTGTGCATCGCTGGGTGTGACCCAAAAAAGCAAAAAAAAAAAAAAAAAGTATTTTCCCAATAATAAATTTCTTTCATTCTTTTTCCTTCCTTCCTTCCTTCCTTCCTTTCTTTTTTATTTCTTCCTTTTTTTTTCTTTTGTTTTGGGGTCACACCTAGCAGTGTCCAGGGCTTACTTCTGGCTCTTTATCAGAGATCACTCCTGATGGTGCTCACTGTGCCATAAAACATGCTGGGTATCAAACTCAGGTTGGCCATGTACAAGGTAAATGTACCTTCTGTACCAATACTCTGGCCCTTGAAGTTTACTTAGCTTCAAGAATTGTGGACTAGAGACTTGGTCTTTAAGCCTCTGTGCTCCCTTAAACATGGATCTCACTTCCTTGTCTCTAGGTCTGTTTGCTTGCTTGCTTCCACTCTGATAAGGGCTCTGTGCATGTGTGTGTGTCTCTGTGTGTGTGTGTCTGTCTGTCTGTCTGTCACTCTCTCTCTGTCTCTCTCTGTCTCTGTCTCTGTCTCTGTCTCTGTCTCTCTCTCTCTCTCTCTCTCTTCCCCCATTCGTCATTCTCTCTTTAGGTGGCAGTCTAAGGGGGTGGCATATCCATCCATGTTCAAGGGTTACAACTGGATCTTTCGGCATTCAGGAGTCACTCCTCTAGATTCTGGGGGACCATATGGGATTACAGGAATCGAATATTGGTTGGCCCCAGGCAAGCAAGCAACTAACTCACTGTACTACCTCTCAAACAAGTTCTTCCTCTATATTCTCCTGTAAACATATACTTCCTCTATTTCTCTCTCTCTCACACCTTCTAATATACTTTCAGTAAACACTATCTTGGAACCCAGAGAAATGAAACATGCATAATCAACGGTGGGGGCTCTCCATACCTTAGGGTAATGACTGGCCACATTTGAAAGACCAACAGAGTGATTTGAGTGGGGATGTGGAGAGGGACGTACTGGAGGGAGCCTTTGGATATTTGTCCACCAATAGAATGAGATCAACAACAGTGTCAATTCATCACTCTTGTTTATATAATGGAAACCAAATAAAGGAGACTACCAAGGATCAGATGAATTTCCCTGCTATTATGTGTTGTATGGCACACATCAGTGCTAGGAGATTATGAGATCTTGAGTCCACGGACAAGAACAACACAAACTCCATGTTAGGAATTTCCCTGAACTTTGTGCACATCATCCCCTGGCTGAGTCCCCAGTTCTTCTTCCTATAATTACTGTGTTGTAACTAGATTTCACATTATAGAATTTCAAGTATTTCAAGTAGTGTAACACCCCTCTGTGTGTATAGGATTCAACACATCCATCATCAGAGTTCCAGTGCCATCTGTTACCCTGTACCAAAGACCCCATCCTCCCATCCTCCCACTCCCTCCCCTCCCATCCCATTTGGAAACCACCACAGTTCTCACCAAGCCTAGAAGGTAGTTTTGTTGCTGTTTTCTATTCTTGGATGATTTTGATCTCTTCTTTTCTTCTACTTCTACTACGTGGGCAGTTATGGGAAGCCCTGCCCTAAACTTGGATTTAAGGTCAGAATTAAGGGTGGTCTTTCATGAGAACTATTCCCGCTAACTCTGGAGTTCTTTGCAAGCTTGTTGCACCAAACCTAGTGAACTTAGAGTTTATAATGCATTCTGCTGTCTTGCAGCTGAAGTCTCTCTAAATCTGTGGATTTGTTGGGAATGTAGCTCAGTGGCAAGAGCACTTGCCTTGCATGTGAGGGAAGGGGTGTGACCCTGGTCACTGCTTACAAAGAAGAAAAGGATAGGAATGTTTAAATGAGCAAAACTGACTACCTTTGTCTTTGGAGATTTACTGGGAAACAGAGTCCAGCTACCACAACAGATGTTAGATTACGGATGCCTGAAATGAGCAAAAATTTCCCAAATAGTAGCTTATACCAAACAAGCATTGAACTCTCTTTCAGAGGAATTAATAATGCTTTTAACATCTATATGATTAAAACAAAACTAAAAATCAAAGTTCAAAATACAAGAAGAAATCAGCACGAAAGCAGCACAAGAAAGCAAGCAATGAAATGATTTTTTTAAAAAAAATGATTAAAAAATACTGGCTATATCAGAAACCATAAAAATTATTAATGGATCAAACTTGTATGTAAACATAACTGAACTGTCATGTTGGAGAAATTCCAAATACTTAACTTTTTAAGAAAGCATAGGCCATATTTACAGCATTCAGCCAAAGAGAAGGACAACATGGAGGGCGGGACCCGCAGATCCCGAAGGAAAAAAAAAAAATACAGGTTCCAAAAAGAGCCGAGATCATCGGGAAGCCCCAGATGGGGTAGGTTTCGCATCCCGCCTCCCCCAGATGGAACCCCGGTGACCAGAAGCCTCTACAACCACAGCTCGAGTATGCAGGAACTAGGACTTTTCCCTCAAATCTCCCGGGACTACACCTCCCAGGTAACCTCTGATTCCGGAAGTCACACCCACAGCCCGCCCCCCAGCGCCATATTTACAGCATTCAGCCAAAGAGAAGAACAACATGGAGGGCGGGACCCGCAGATCCCGAAGGAAAAAAAAAAAACAGGTTCCAAAAAGAGCCGAGATCATCAGGAAGCCCCAGATGGGGTAGGTTTCGCATCCCGCCTCCCCCAGATGGAACCCCGGTGACCAGAAGCCTCTACAACCACAGCTCGAGTATGCAGGAACTAGGACTTTTCCTAAAAACCGCGCGGCCGCTTGTGCGGCCGCGCAACATCTCTCTACATACAAAGTGATCCATATATACAAAGTAAACCACCCAACGTTTCTCTCTGAGAATCATAGCTAAGTTTGGAGCACGGCCACAGCCCCAGAAACACAAGGACTTAATGCATAACCCAGCAGCTTGGAGCAGAAAAGTGAATGGGCTATGCGTTAATCCAGGCCATCATGACTGTCCAGAGGGGAAAGGGTGTTGCCCCATTCGCCCTCTCCTCTCTGGAAAGAAAGATGGCGGCCACATGGGAGCCTTGTGGACAGCAGGTATGAGCCGGGGGAGTGGGGGCGACTAAAACCTCATGGGAAGGGGGGCGTTCCGGTCCGTCCTTCACACCCTACCGAGGTCACCAGTTGCCCCCCACGAGCGGCTCTCCAGCACAGCCACAGCCCCAGAAGCACAAGGACTTAATGCAGAACCCAGCAGCTTGGAGCAGAAAAGTGAAAGGACTATGCGTTAATCCAGGCCATCAAGTCTGCCGGAGGGGAAAGGGGGTTGCCCCATTCGCCCTCTCTTCTCTGGAAAGAAAGATGGCGGCTGCATGGGAGCCTTGTGGACAGCAGGTATGAGCCGGGGGAGTGGGGGCGACTAAAACCTCATGGGAAGGGGGACGTTCCGGTCCGTCCTTCACATCCTACTGAGGTCACCAGTTGCCCCCCGCGAGCGGCACTCCAGCACGGCCAAGGCCCCAGAAACACAAGGACTTAATGCAGAACCCGACAGCTTGGAGCAGAAAAGTGAACGGACTATGCGTTGATCCAGGCCATCAGGTCTGTCCGGAGGGGAAAGGGTGTTGCCCCATTCGCCCTCTCCTCCCTGGAAAGAAAGATGACGGCCACATGGGAGCCTTGTGGACAGCAGGCATGAGCCGGGGGAGTGGGGGCGACTAAAACCTCATGGGAAGGGGGACGTTCCGGTCCGTCCTTCACGTCCTACTGAGGTCACCAGTTGCCCCCCGCGAGCAGCTCTCCAGCATGGCCACAGCCCCATAAGCACAAGGACTTAATGCAGAACCCGGCAGCTTGGAGCAGAAAAGTGAACGGACTATGCGTTGATCCAGGCCATCAGGTCTGTCCGGAGGGGAAAGGGTGTTGCCCCAGTCGCCTTCTCCTCTCTGGAAAGAAAGATGGCGGCTGCATGGGAGCCTTGTGGACAGCAGGTATGAGCCGGGGGTGTGGGGGCGACTAAAACCTCATGGGAAGGGGGGCGTTTCGGTCCGCCCTTCACGCCCTACCGAGGTCACCAGTTGCCCCCCTATGAGCGGCTCTCCAGCACGGCCACAGCCCCAGAAGCACAAGGACTTAATGCAGAACCCAGCAGCTTGGAGCAGAAAAGTGAAAGGACTATGCGTTAATCCAGGCCATCATGTCTGCCCAGAGGGGAAAGGGTGTTGGTCCCTTCCGCCCTCCTCCCTCTGGAAAGAAAGATGGCGCCCACATGGGAGCCTTGTGGACAGCAGGTATGAGCCGGGGATGTGGGGGCGACTAAAACCTCATGGGAAGGGGGACGTTCCGGTCCGTCCTTCACGCCCTACCGAGGTCACCAGTTGCCCCCCGCGAGCGGCTCTCCAGCACGGCCACGGCCCCAGAAGCACAAGGACTTAATGCAGAACCCGGCAGCTTGGAGCAGAAAAGTGAATGGACTATGCGTTAATCCAGGCCATCAGGTCTGTCCAGAGGGGAAAGGGTGTTGCCCCAGTTGCCTTCTCCTCTCTGGAAAGAAAGATGGCGGCCGCATGGGAGCCTTGTGGACAGCAGGTATGAGCCAGGGTAGTGGGGGCGACTAAAACCTCATGGGAAGGGGGGCGTTTCGGTCCGCCCTTCACGCCCTACCGAGGCCACCAGTTGCCCCCCACTAGCGGCTCTCCAGCACGGCCACGTCTCCAGTGCACAGAAACCAATTTCTTAACTATCTGACTTTCAGTAGAAATACTTCCAGGTTCAATAAGTAAAATAGCAGAAATCCAAAACCAACATTTAATTCTTGAACCCAGCTGTAGAAAGCAAATCACCTCACAATGCTTTTTCAGCATGTCTGATTTGGGGGGGGGGGGTAAACTCTAAATAATAGTGGTGAATCTTTTATTGAAACAATGAATCTAATCAAAGCAGATAGAGTGTTAACTAGAATTCATCTGCCCCACAGGGACTGGGAGGGGTGGGGGTGGGGTTTTATTGGGATTCTTCATGGTAAAAAATAAGTATTGTTAAAGCGAAATGTGTTTGATATTTGCATGACTGAGACCTAAACCTGAAAGCTTTGTAACCTTTCCCACGGTGATTCAATAAAGAAATAAAAAAAAAAAGCATAAAAAGGAAAACCAAAGAAAAGAATATACCTTGCAAATGTGAACAAAAAGAAAACTGGTGTAGCTGTATTAATATAAGTCAAAGTAAGTTCAAGATTTTAATAAACTATTATTTTTCAAAGGAGGTTTTGTTTGTTTCTTTTGGAGGGGGCCATACTATAGGTGCTCAGTGTCTACTGCTGCTCTTCATTCAGCTGTCACGACCAGTGATGGTCATATTGATGTGTGCAAGGCAGGCACCTTCCCTACTGTACTATCCATCCTGCCTTAAAATGTATTTATCACTTAATCACTTAAATCACTTAACTTCCCGTTAGTCGTCGATTTGCTCGAGCGGGTGCCAGTAACGTCTCCATTTGTCCCTGTCGCGTGCTAGTGTTGCCCAATGGCATCTGTTAGCTCCGGGAACATGAAGGGCCTCAAACTGATCGTTCATGATCTTGACGAAGAAGTCTGACCATCTGGTAGGTGGGCGGCCACGCGGTCTTTTGACATCGCGTGGAATCCAGTCAGTAACAGCTCTAGTCCAGCGGTCGTCTTTAAATCTCATTACGTGACCAGCCCATCTGATTTTCGACACCTTGGCAAATAAGACAGCGTCCCTGATTCTTGATCATCAACGGATGTCAGAACTCCGGATTCTTTCTCTCATTTGAGTGAAACGTGATATTCCAAGCATAGCTCTTTCTATTCTTCTTTGGGAGAGCTGAATAGTGTTCTCATCTTGTTTGCGTAGGGCCCAGGTCTCTGAGGCATATGTTAATGCAGGAAGAATAGTGGAATCAAAGAGATGTGCCTGGAGCCGGAGTTTCTTCGTCCTCTTAGCTATTTCTTCGACGTTCTTGAAGGCTTTCCAAGCCGCTCTCTTCCTCCTGCGCAGCTCGGGTGCCAGGTCATTTGTCATGTTGACCTCTCGACCTAGGTACACATAGCTGTTGCATTTGGAGATGGTCGTTCTGTTGAGAGCGAGTGGGGTGTCAGGAACGAGGCTGTTTCTCATAAACATTGTCTTCGTAAGGTTCAGCTGTAGTCCTACCTTTCCACACTCACGGTCAAAGTCGGCCAGCATTTGTGCCGCTTGGCTGATGTTTGGTGTTATTAAAACAATGTCATCAGCAAAGCGGAGGTGGTGTAGTTGCCGACCATCTATCTTCACTCCCATTCCTTCCCATTCCAGTCGTCGCATGACGTTCTCAAGGGTGGCACTGAAGAGTTTCGGTGAAATGGTATCACCCTGCCGAACCCCTCTCTTGACATCAACGATCACTTCTTTGTAGAATGGTGAGATCCTGGTAGTGAATCCGCAATACAGCTCACGGAGGATCCTGATGTATTGGGCTTGAATGCCCTGATTGGCTAGGGCTTCAATGACCGCTTCCGTCTCAACAGAATCAAAGGCCTTCTTTAAATCAATGAACGTTAAACAGAGCGGCATCTTGAACTCCCGAGAAACCTCAATGAGCTTGGTTATTGTGTGGATATGGTCGATGGTGCTGAATCCTTTGCGGAACCTGGCTTGCTCGCATGGTTGTCCTTCATCTAGTGTTCTGCTAATCCTATTTAGGATGACTCGAGTGAACAACTTGTAGATGACAGACAATAGGCAGATCGGGCGATAGTTGCCAATGTCATGGATGTCTCCCTTCTTGAACAGTAGTACGGTCCTGCTGGTTTTCCATTGGGACGGAACCTTGTATTCAGACAGGTAGCGAGTGAAGAGCCGAGCCAGTGTATTGATGAGTACTGACGGCAGGTTCTTCAGGTGTTCAGGTCTGACCTTGTCCATGCTGTTTGTTTCTTTACCGACGAAATGGCGTGTCGGATTTTGGAAGGGAGAACGTTGGGAACGACATATCCATCCTGTGGAATTTGGTATGTCGGCAAGTGGACATGGCTATCAAAGAGATTTGAGTAGAAGTCATGGATAATCTTCTCCATTGCCGTTCTGGAGGATGTGATGGATCCATCAGGACGTCGGAGGGCAGTCATCTTGGTCTTGTAGTTGGCGAAGGACAGGCGGGCGTTACGAATACTTTTCCCGGCTTCTGCCACATCTACCAGTACTTATGCTCTTCTCTCTTTGAGGTCTTCCTTGATCGCATCTCTGCACTGCTTTGCGAGCTCGAACGTTAGCTTGCAGTTGCCTGAGGCATGCGCCAAACCACGCTGGTGAATTAGCTCAAGAGTTTTCGAAGACAGGCGTTTTTTTGTGGCTATCTCTCTCTTGGCGTTCCTCGCACATTCATGGAGGTGCTGAACCAGTCGATCGTATTCCTTGTCAATGTTGTCAACAATGGCATCTTCCCATGTTGCCGCAATAGTACCAAAGAGTTCCCAGTTGGTGGTCATTCTGGGAGTTCTCTTTTTGAACTTTGCAGCCCTTTCTCCCCGCTCTGTGAAGTAGAATTTTGCACGAAGGAGATGGTGGTCCGATCCCGTTTGAAATTTTGGGACAACAGCGACATCGGTCAGGCAAAACCGTCGATTGAATATGACGTGGTCTATTTCGTTGTGGAATCGTCCACCAGGAGACTCCCATGTCCATCGTTTAGATTCTGCCTTCTGGAACTGTGAGTTACCATGAATGGTCTTGGTCGACATGATGAACTCAGACAGTCTCTCACCCTGTTCGTTCCATTCTAGGCCATGGGTCCGATGTGAAGTTCTTCAGCTGATCTTCTCGGTCCTATCTTGGCATTAAAATCACCCACAATGATCTTGTAGAAGGTGTGGTCTTCTTTATAGAACTTCTCTAGCTCCATGTAGAACTTCTCGATTTCTCTTTCATCATAATAAGATGTTGGTGCGTAGACAACGAAGATAGAAACTGCAGGCAGTGAGCCACATCTATTCAAATGTAAACGTCCGATTCGGGTTGTTAGGCATTTGAATGAATCAATGCTCTTGGCCAAGTTTGTGTTGACAAGGACACCGACGCCTCCAACACCTCTTTTATCGCATGTTCCGAGGAACAATTCTTCTCCAGTGTCGAAAACGGCATGGTGAGATTCGTGCCTTCTTGTCTCGGTCAGACCAATGATGTCGTACTTGATCATTCGCGCTTGTACCATCAGGTCCTCGATGGATGCATCTGATGCTAGCGTACGTGCATTGAAAGTACAGACGATCATTTTTGTCTTCCTTCGTTGTGGCAGCCTAGGTCGGCCTTGAGATTTTGTCGGCCTGTCCTTTCTCATCCTTCTCAGTGCTGCCATGTCGGTGAAGCCTTCAGGGTCAGGTGAATGAGACCAGTTGTAGTTACTGGTTTTGGCATATCGAATACACAACGGATAGCTTGCCAGGCTCTTCCGTGCGGGCGGAATACTCTCGGTAGCTTGCCAGTCTTTCCGAGAGGGATAGAGGCTTTTGGGGCGATCTCTAATCACCCTTGTAGGTGTTACCATATTTGAACCCTATCAAATACGGTACGACAATTCCGGAAGATGGGTATTTAGTGTTTTATGATGTGTCACGCGGCCGCTTTGCGGCCGCACGGGTCCAGAAAACATCCTGAAGTGTGGCAACGGCTGGGTAGTGGAAGTAGTGTCGATAGTGGAAGTCTGCCAGTGGGGTATTTATCTGGGTAGGGTGGGTCTCCTGTGTGCAATTCGATCCCTGGGTGGTTGATGGAAGCAGACAGGGCAGGGTAAGGTGGGGCTCCTGATTAGAATCCCTTTGTCACATTAAAATGTATTTAAATTATTTATTTATTTTCTTCAGTTTTAGGGTCACACTCACAGTGCTCATGCTTACTCTGCACTCAGATTTCACTCCTGATGCACCCTGTTAACCACATGGGTTTGTTTGTTTTTGTTTATTTTTGGTTTTGGGGGGTCACACCTAGAAATGCTCAGAGGTTACTCCTGGTTCTGCACTCAGGAATTATACCTGACAGGGCTGGGGGTGCATATAGGATTCCTGGGATCGAACCGGAGTCACCCGGGTCGGGTGCATGCAAGGCTAACTCCCTACCCGCTGAACTACCACTCCGGCCTGAATAACCACATGGGGTGCAGGTGATCAACCCAGTCAGCTACATGCAAGTAAGGCAAGAGCCCTACCCACTGTGCTATCTCTCTCTGGCCCCAGATAGACACTGAAGACACAATGATGACTTAGTTCTCATAAAACGCAGCAAGAAAAACAAATCTGGTTTGTTGGAATTGGGGACGAAATACCTCCTGAAAAGGGGGGTGGATTCTGGAGTTCTGCAATATTGGTTTCAAATTATGTTGTAGGCTACTCGGATACAGTCAGACAGTGAAAATTCACGGAAAAGATTTGTGCAGTACTGTTAAGGACATCATACAGAAATTCACTCAGATTCCTCACCCTTTTTTTTTTTGCCCCCTTCCTGCCCACCCCCTCACACACCCTGCCCTCACCCCACCACCCCACCGCATTTTTCTTGGCTGGGATTCTGCATAAGGATTACCGTTTAGTACTCCAGTTTCACAACTAACAACAGATTAGCCAACCACTTTTCTTCCAGGTGACTGCTAGGAGGCAGAGCAGCATCCCTTGGCGCGCTTCCCTTGGCGCGCTTAGCACACCCACATTTCCGGGAGCCCCAAGCACTCCGTCCAGGAGGGTCACCCGGTACTTTCACCCTAGATGAGAACAGGCGAGGGGGCCTGGCTGTGTTACCCTCAGCCGCCTCCTCACACGGCTCAGCCACTCACTGCACCTGGTGCCCGCAACATCGACCCAATCC